ATTGTTGTGGGATGAAAACCTATCTGGGCTGGAAAAACTGAAACATATCTGGACAACCATGGTTTCTTGGAGAACCCGTATCTGAGTTCAGACACGATTGTGCTGATTTGTGCTAACTGTATTGACAGAGGTTAGTAAGACGAATACTTCCACAAAGGGTTTTTGAATTTGGATCATAACTAAGGATGACGTGCTCATTTTACTAACCTCCGTCATTCGAAAAATTACTACAGCAAAATTTTCTTTTTTTCTAAACATTTATTAGCTCAAATTTAAATTATTTCTTGCGAATCGACAGAGAACACAGAGTCAATTCCGAATATGTGCTGCTTTTGCCTACTCATCGGCTCAGTCTTACGCAAATACTGAATTTTTTAACGGCAGGCGTGTTTTCAAGCTAATTTTTCATTCGTGAATTTTCCACCCTACTTGGTATTCGTAACGAAAATTTTTATGCCATCACATAGAGCATGTCTTGAAGTATATTTGCAGCCATTGAATTGATGAAAAGTTTACTTCCGTTTTTTCACCTAACGTTCGCCTGGATGCACACTGTGCCAGAGTACTACTGTCTGTTTCAAGATAAAGTTTCTGGTAATAATGCACGCCATAAGCGTCGGAAGAGAATCAAGTGGAGCAAGCAAGATGTGTAGAAAAGTTTGACTCGTAAACTGCCGAGCAATAGTCAGTTTTCGGTAGAACACAAGTCTTGTAAAGGGTCAGACGAATCATTCGTCATTATTAAGTTAATAAAGATCTTACTCCTTACAACCTGGAAATATTGAAACATGGAAGAAATAAATTAAATAAAAAAAACTTTTATACTGTCAATGGTATGTGTATTAGTGATTAGGGGCTGGTATTAGAACTGATATACGGTACTTATCTACTGTGAATAAAATAGTTAATGGTGGTTTAGAATTGTATAAACACAGTTGTGAGAAAACTGATCCTAATTATACGTATTCGAAGGTTCGGTCACAGTTAAACTGGATGATGGATCATATAAACACTTGGAAACGAAAGGTGATGCTGATGCTACGATGAACCCAAGTCTGTGAAACTTGGCTAAGCCCATCTAGTGACAATGTGTTAACTATACCCGGCTATCAGGTCTCGTTTCGCAAAGATAGACCATCTGCTGGATGAGTTATGGTTTATGTTCGGATCATTACTAATACTTATAATTAATGCTACAATTGTTTACGAATTTGATAATTAAGTTACAAAGTTTGAACTTTTTTATTCGTATTTTATTATATTAATAAAGTAATACAATTAACTTGAAGTCGGCAAATTTTCAAGATCCACGTTTTCAGGACTTCCTGTAAAATTTCAATATTTCAGCAACGACACAGCTTTTTGACTTGCACCTTTTACCAAAATTCATTAAAATGTCTGGTCTAAAAGCGTCCCCTCATAGTTTGAAAAAGTTTTGAGAACATCGATTGAAGAACGTCGATCGTGAATTACGTGCAACGGCTTGTATGCAATTAGAACTGATATTGGATGTTTACTATTGTTGTACCAAGCATTAATGGTATCGGATAATCCCAAACAACTTTACACATTTGAGAAGCATTTTGATAATTGGCAATGTTATCCCATCTTAACATACTTAACAGAAATTCGTATACTAATAGAAGACCATTTTCTGATGTTCTCACAAAAAAGTTCTACACTTTGCCACTCTTTAGCATCGCTATTAACCTCTGCCCACAATGATAGGGTTCCAAATAAGTAATGATAACTTGCATACTCTTAGTATTTTGCTTCAGAAACCTGTGCAAGCAAATGAGGAACGTGAAATTCTATTCAAGGCTATGCTTTCTATTATCTGCACAGTGCTGATGTTGATTTTGTGCCAATGATCAAACTGAGTACAAATGTGTAAAATATAGTTCATTATAAAGAGCTGTGGTTGTTTTCTATTTATTGGGGCACTCGTGCCTTAATCCGACGTCATTCGATGTTTGTCCTTGCGCTGATCCCAAATACATAATTTCTGTTGAATAGAAAGGTTTCCGAACCGAGAAAAATGGAAAATACCTGAAAACTCAGGTTTTTTTGAAAAACCTGCTGCATGTTCAGAAACATTTGCGCATTTTTGTGCATTCACCATAGATGCAGGGCATATAAGAGAACACTCAGTGAAAGTTTGGTTAAATTTGGACCTCCGCTAACTTTCGTGCGCTCACTTTACTAAACTTGGCTCTTCGGAAAATCGCTTAAGAAAAACTTTTTTTAATTTCTTAGCTATTATAAGTCCAATCTAAAATTTCTTTTACTACTCGATTAGTTGATGCCATGCAGATTTAGAATGTATGTCGTTTTTGATTACAGCTTCAGTGACTGCTGTAAAAATTTCATTTTTCTCACCGATACTACTATTTCAGGCTAATTTTTGATTACCTGTTTTCCCACGATACATAACTTTTGTAACAAAACTTGTTGTGCCATCAAATAGAGAACACCAAGCGCTAAGTTTAAAAAAGCGAGCGCGCGAAAGGAGCGCAGGTCCAAGTTTAACCAAACTTTCACAGAATGTTCTCCTATATGTCCTGTATCTATGGCGACTGCACAAAAGTGCGCAAACGTTTCTGTAGCATACAGCAAGTTTTGCAAAACCTGAGTTTTTCAGGTATTTTCTATTTTTCTTCGATAAAGCTAGTTTTTTCTTGTCTACTTTTTCTTAAATTGGTTTGGTGATTAGTTTTTTCTATATATATTCTTCTTGTATATATTTTTTTAATTTAAATTTTCGTTAATTGGTTTGGTGGTCAAAAGTCTTATTTTTTGGTGATAATTTCGCAATGAATAAATTGCGAAAAATAAAGAATTTCAAGAGCTATATTTTGCACTATTTATATTTGAAAAACAAGAAATTTCGATTTTTCGCCAAATTTCTCTTGGATGCCCACTGTGAGTCTATAGGCGGGTAAAACGTATGTTTGTATATACTACCGACTACGCTTTACAAAATGGTATAAGCCGTTTTGTAAGAATTTGATTTTAAATCTTGATCAAGTGTCGCGTTACGTATCCAAGTCATGAAAAAAAGCGTCACTCACCCCTTTTTCAGTATCTAGTCACATTTGCACAGTTTTATGTCGCACAGAAAAAGGTTATTTGCTTTCTGCATGAAAAAATAGAAGATTTCTTTGTGTATGGCAGCATGGAAGCAAAAATTTAAAAGCTTTTTTCTATCATAAAAACTCATTAATATGTGTAAAAAAGCTAAGCACAGCCAAGGACCCACATGAATCACACATGCAAATTGTCTTTTGAGAAGTTCTCTTAGCCGCAAAACGTCTTCTTGCACTTCAACAGCATGTGCTTTCGAAATGTTTGAACTGTTTGTTGCTAGGGATGTCAGAATATCAGTACGCGGTGTATTCTCAAAAAGAAACTATTTCTTTTTGAACTTACTGAGCTTTAAGCCTAGCAAGTGGGTGTATTCTCATAGACAATACACGAGAATACATAAATATAAGAATTTTCTATGAAATGTGCTGAGCCCCGTGGAAACATCTCGAACTCCAACGAATATAAGAACCGTGGCAGGGGAGCGGGGGCGGGGCGACCGTCGTTTAAGAGATGTCCCAACTTCTGCAACGGTTTGACTAACTTCTACGAGTTAACTTAAGTATATTTGAGTTAAATTATTCTATTTTATTTTATTTTATTTTATTTATTTTTGGCTTAAGATTTTCTTCTCTTTTTCTTGATTAAAAAAATTACTCTTTCTACTCTTCTTTCGTATTTCCAGCGCGTATATTTTTAGAATACGAAAGTTAGAGGTGATGTAATTTGAAAAACTGATTTCATCAACAACTGTGGCGTACAATTTAAACAGTTGTGAAATACGCAGAGAAAACTAACTGCGGCCGTTTTACATATTTTTATCTGCTATTCTCTTTTTACTAGTTATAACTCCGAGCCTAACAGCCGTAGTTCGAAGATTATAGTAAAGGAATAGTAACGGGCTTCGAGACCGTTACAAGGGGACGAGGTGCAGCATGAGCAGAGTGAGCCCTGTATAGTGGCACTACAATTATTCCATCGTGTAGAAAGGCCAAAATCAACACTAGAAGAGTTAAGTCGTATATAAAAAATTTAGTAGTGATTTTAGAGAAGATGAAGTTGGGATGTTCAGGTGAATAAAACAGAGATAATTCACATTTGACCAAAGACAAAAAATAAATCATGCCAAATTCTATGATATTAATCGGGTATACAGTTGTGCTGTCAAGAAAGTAAAATATTTAGGACTGATTATAGATGAATTTTTAGCATTTAAACAACACACACGACAAGCAGCTCAGAATACCACACAATACTTACCATATCTGAAAAATATCTTTCGGAAAATGGAATGTTAAATGCTATTATGATGTTATAATTGCATCGAACAATAATCATATCGAGAACAGATTTATTAGCCTGTGTGGATGAATGTTACAAAAGTAGTATTAATCCACTGATGTAATTGAACTAGTTTCATTCGTTTTCGCGAAACTAAGCATCAATGACCCAAATCCTTTTAGGGTTTTTGAATGAAGAAGGAGGAGAGCTATCCTACAGTAAGAAGTGTCGTGCTGGAAGAAGTATCCTCTGCAGAGAAGTGTCCTAGAGGAAGGGCGTCCTATGCGAAGAAAGATATGAGTAAGAAGTGTCTGAGTGAAAACTGTGTGGAGAAGATCGAACCGCCATTCGTGATGCATAATATAGCTCCTCTGGCTATTTCTTGTGGCTTGGTTGATAGCTGTTAGATGGTGAGTGTATGTGTATGGGAAATGAAGTATTTGAGTGCGAAAACTCAGTACTAGACTACAGTATTTTTATATTTTTATCAGAAATGAGTTTTCAGACAGTCAGACAACATATGTTCTGAAATTCCCCCGTTTTTATTAATATTAGAATTTGTGAAATCTCAAATTCACTTATTTAACAGAACGACAGTATTTACTTTTGCAACTTCGCAATAGCCAGAGTAACCTTCAGCTTTCAAACTCTTTCGTTTGTGGAGATGAATACAGCCAAGTTTTTAAGTCCTTTTGTTTACCCAAATATTCTAGCGTATAAGCCGCTGCTTGGACCATTCTCTGGTATGCAAATGTGTTTATATTTTCTATTGTATCACAAGCCTGATGATAGCAGGGATCATAAGACGTATGCACGATTCCTCCTTGGCCTTGTCCCAAAACCTCAGCATAACAATCATGTTCGTCTTTAGTTTTTTGACGTTCCGCACCACCAAACAATCCACCGACAGCGATACCTTCAGCTAGGAATGGTACATAGTCACTACGAGCGTCCAAATCGGTCCAACTCCACGGTAACTCTTGGTTAATAAACCAATCACGAAATAATTCCGATAACCTTTTACTGCCAGGCAGCGCACTCGCTCCTGTAGTGTATGTCGTTGTTCTATAATCGTAAATTCCAAACTTGTAGTTTGGTGATCCCAGCATGTCAAAGTTCAAGTTAACCAAAACGTCTTGTAAACGTTCACCAATAATTGTGCTATTCTTTGCTTTTTTCACATAATCTTTTGACCCAACCTCTTTACCTACGAACAAAGGAAGAAAAAATTGTATATGTTCTCAAACATTTTCTTGGAAAGTTACCTTCCTCAGCCGCCCACCAACAAAATCGAACTCGATTTGGATATTCTTTGTACTCTGATGTTCGAAATAACCTGGCCAGATTCACGGCCAGAACAAGATTTGCTGCACTACCACTGCCTTTAATACAAAAGAATAAGCTTGCCGGAGCTGACTCAGAACACCAACAATGAAACGTCAACACATGTCAGAACTATATTCAAGGAAAAATACAAGAGATCAAACTTTATTCAAGACCTAAATTCGCTTAGCTAGTGTCGCATCGGACCGCGTACATACGTACATGAATACTATACGCGTCGCAGTTTCACAAGATAAGTCTGCACAAAGAACAAAGAAAGCCTTCTCCTACCATTATCATTAATTCCTGGACCTTCTTGGACACTGTCGCTGTGGCTACCTATAATGATTGTTGTTTTCGGATTCCCCCCCGGTGTATCAGCACAAATGTTATTAACACCAATTAACGATTGATACTGAACATCAAAATTAATTAAAACACTTGCATTTGCTGATGGATTTGATGTGGCTTTCACAAGTGTCATTCCGGCTTGATAGGATAAGGTTAAGGCTGGATAAATTGAATTTTCACTGACAGCTGCCTGGAATGGTTCCAATCGATCAGGCGGTGTCCCCCCGTTATAAAGTAACAGACCAGCAACATTATATTTAGTGGCAAGGAGAGATTTCTCTTCAAAGGTACAATTACCACGTTGAACCAAAGCTACACTACCATTTGCCGGTGGCGAAGATACAGCTAACCAGTCTGCATCGCTACATCCAAAATTGGGTACTTTTATTAAACGAACTGGACTAGAAAAATTAGCTGAACTAGAATGTGTCATCGCATAAAAATGGAATCCATATATAAAATTTGTCTGTGCATTGTTGATAAATAATATTAATTTTGGAGAACCAAGTACTCGAAAAGCGTTAACTTTTAAAAACCGTTTATCTACTTTAAAATTTGTATTTTGTGTTAAATACGTGGTAATATAGTCTAATGTAGCATTGAAACCCTGAGTACCCGTAGCACGTGTGCCTCCACTAGCATCAGCTATATTTTGAAATTCTTGCAAATGATTCAGCATTTGATCAATTTGGACTGAACGTGCCAGTGGTGAGTCGATATAAGAGTTGAGTAGTTTTCGCTTCCTACATCCTAAGAAAAAGTGTATACTAGAAAACCCTGAATGTTTCGGAAACTCTTTTTCGTATTCGGGGTGGTCTATAAATCCTTATCAGTATTTCATTCTGAATAATTGAACGAAGAGATTTTGATATGGTGAATTTGCAAAGCAAACCAAATCACAGAAGTACACAGTTTTTCAGATATACCGAACAAGTTGCTCGGAGATATAAAATTTTTACTTTCATTGCTTGTAAAATCATAGACATGGTACTTAAAACTTTTATATCTCTGAGAGAACTTGTTCGGTATCTTCAAAAACTTGTGTACCTGTCTAATATATTAGTTAGTTAGTTAATGATACCGATATCCAGAGGGTATATGGTGAAGGTCACAAAACTAAGGTTATGATAAAACAAAAAAAACTTTTGGGTACACCAAGACGGTATAAGATTATCTAATCTGAGTTGCTCTACGTATTTGCCATATCAGAACCTCTTCGTTCAATTATTCAGGATGGATCGTCAGAAATCAGGCCTCTGCAGACCCATACTGAAAAGTCATATGGATCGAAACGAATAGCAGATTTGTGATCAGCATAAAAAATAACCCTTGAAAGATATTTGTTTTGGTTAAATCGAGGTGAATTTACTTGAGACAGTTCCCCTGTAAGGAAAAAACGTTGTCCACACTCTAAAAATATATTTTCTAAAACCGTAATGTTACTATGCAGGTCAATGGGCAGGATTCTGGGATTTATCTGGCACTTGTTGTTCACCGATTATTTTCTTATGATCCTCACTCTCGGATAACGGACAAATGATAAAGGTGCAACCGCTTGCGGCTGAGTTCACAAAATAATAACACTACGTACCTCCGAGTAATATATCAAGAGACGTTTCATATAGCTTAGAGTCTAGTCATAGAACGATAGTGCATCAGTAACCAGCACAATCTCAGAGTTACCTGTTTACACACATCACTATGTGTTTGAAACCAACTATATTCCTAACCGTATCCTCACCCTCATGCTCCTGGTCTTCCCCAACCCACTTCCAAAAGAGGAACAAAACCCCCTTTCCGCTGGCCGTTGCCATCGCATTATCGTTCAGGATCGCTTAAGCGTTTCACTCACGATCTACGTTGCTCAAACGTATAGGTTTCTTTTTCCTGGACAGTCTGACACCTTGCAACAATTCTCAACATAATACGATAAAATAGCGGTATCCAATACATTGTGAAGCGAAGTTTTCCACATACATCTACGTCTCTCACGAAGATGGGAAGGAAAGTCCTGCTAAAACAACATCTTAAGTCTTGCTTCTGGGTGAAACAGAAATGGTAGTTCATTACGCGCTCTCATGCTTCACGCTTTTCCTCCCCCCCCTAAACATCTAAATATCTAAACTCCTAACCAACCTATAAATATGAATCTGCACAAACTATTAATATTTGAGTATCAAATACTAAGGTTTTACCCTTTCCATTTAAAAAAACAAAAAAAAGCAGTTTTTATTTTCAAAATGCCAAATACGACTGTTCGAGATGCAAATTCATCCCTTTTTAAATTAGAAAACTGCGACCTGCAATTTTCTGAAAGGAAAATACTACAAGTGCATCTTAGTCATTATGTGAAAAATCTGGCTATATCATACGTAGATAAAGTGATCCCTATATTTCTGGATGGATCCTTTTTGATCAAAAACATTATTCATTTTTTGCATCCTATTCACACAAGCGTCAAAAAATTTAAAATATACTCCTCATTCATCAAATATCATTTACATTTGTTATTTGCACTATAAAAAAGTAATTAGGTATTCGGCTAACCCACACAACCGAAAAAAGCTTTTTATTTCACACAATCTTGAAAATACAACTGAAACAGCATGAACGAAATATCTAATTAGAAAATGTTCAGGGTGCAAGTCTGAACAGTTTTTCTCTAGGATAAACATTTCAGATGCCTCCTTCATGCTGCTTCAAATCTATTTTCAAGAATGTGCGCAAACTGAGGGGACATTTTTTTCGATTATATCGTTTATGATCAGTTTCGGTTATTCGATTAGAAAACGAAAGTGATGCATGCGTAAAAGTAACAATGCGAAAAAATCATCATGGGAACAAAAGGTTACATAGAATTTTTTTTGGAAATCAGTCTCGAAAAGGTTTCCAAGAACGAGTTTACAAACAGAACGAAGAAGGGTATTAGAACTCACGAAAATTGAACTGAGCAAAGAGAGTATTCGAATAGCAAAAGAGTTTTCAAAATGTCAAAAACTCTCTCGCAACGTACACTCGGGAACTCCAATGGGTTTCCTATAGTTACATTTCTGAAAACCACACGTAAGTTTTCGAGAATAATATTTTTTTTGTACAGTGTAGTAATAATGATAAACGTATCACAAAAGAACTAGATATTTTCAAGAGCTAATTCACGTATCATTAGATAGAAAATGACGAGCAGAATCTGTGCTTCAACAGAACGCTTTTGATTCAATGCGTTCTCTGCTTAAACGTTGATCTGCTGTTAACTGAGATCACATTGATTCAGAAAGGTTCATCGAGGAAAGGATCATTTTTACAGTTTTCTGTTTAGAATACGTACGTGTCTCGCAGTACGAACCGTTCCATTCTGTGGTACAAGCACAATCATTGCGTTTTGTGCAGTTTCCTTCGCTTTTACAGTTGCTTTGGCAGATTTCTGAAAATCGTATGAGAAAAAGAGAAGTTATTTGCAGTTGGTTAAAATTTTACATAAAAGAAACAGTAATCAAATCGGTTGTGCCTATTATGCTAACAACTAATTAGACAATGCTACATCGTATCTCGGTTCCACTTGAAACAATAGATATTTAATAGAAAAAATAGAAAGAAATCTTTTCTTGTCAAACTTACTAAAATTACTTTTCATTTTGTATGAGATCTCACGAGAAAGAGCTGGCTACGTACCGCTAGTGGATGAAGTGAATGACTCTCTTTGCGGTTGATTATTTGTGGCTCTCAATGTACTTGATATTTTTGATGGAAATAATGAAGTGAACGATTGAACGGATGATGTTGATTCTGTTTTTGTTTCTGATGGTTTTGTTGGTTCCGATGAATTCGAAATACCTTGAGTGAAGGAAACATCTCCAGGTTTACTCCAGGTTGATGACTGTGGCTGACTACTGACAGTTGTTGTTGGTGGTATCTGTAGTGTTGTTAAATTGTTATTACTGCTGCCACCATTACCACCACTTGACATTGCTGGAGCGAAGAATGTTATAACTAAAAAGGAAAAATACATTAGATAGGAACTTCTGAAATATTATACTCCATTCTTAGACTCAGAGTAGACATAAGGATACTGTTTCTAGTGTTTAAAAGTGACGGAAAATCCTGTGGAAAAGGTCCTTTGAAAAATAATTTTCTGGCAGACAAGCAGAAAACCACAGCCAATTATGTAAATTGCAGTGTTCGAACAAGATGCATGCATTGGACTGACTATAGGAAGAATATGAATATAAAATATGAATCAAATGAAGATAAACTAAAATATGATCAGAGAACCACGCATGTCATCTATACTCACATAGGCTCTCTTCAAATCGAATGCGAATAAGTAGTTGAGTTGTTACTGTTTGTAATATGCCCGTTTGACAAATCAGCGTGAGACAATCAATAGAAAAAACCAGTCGAAATTCAACAGTCATCTGTAATATTTCTGAATTATTAGCTGCTTTGGTAACGTAATAGTAACGAATAAATTGTTTTTCTGTCTGCGATGGTGCTTGACGTTTTCTCTAAATATATAAATAGACTCAGTTACGGTCCTGTCAACATTTCAGCACTTCATCTGCTCTTTTTCAACTCATAAAACGCTGATTTAAACAGTGTTTTATCGAAAAGTTAAAAGAAATATATGAAAAAGTACGAACTTTTGTCAGGCTTAGAGATGCAGGCTTCTTTATATATAATTTTTGAGACTTCTACTTTAAGTCAGCATAAAATTTAAAACCGGTCAATTCAGGAAAATAACAACTATTATCTGTACTTTTAAGCGCCATTATTTTGGTGTCACTTTTAATACAGATTCGCGACCAACATCGTGATCGCGAATTCTAAGCATTAGCATTGTTTCTTTCCATTCTTTTGGATTTATTTTTTACAGATAAGATCTTTCTACGCCAAAAAGGAAAACACTGCCATGGGTTCGATGAAAGTCACATTTTTGTTGATATGTACGCTCTATCGATGTATAGAAGGCGTATTTCTCCACATAGGGACTTTTGGTCTTCACTTAAGTCTTTCGAGCCTGATGCTGTCATTTGGTAACATTTTCTGATGTGTTTCACAAACAGCCGGCTGGAAAGACTTTAGAGTCATTCCGCGGAAAGAGCGACCTATGCTACAAATTTATAACTTCAATCTGAAAATAATCTTAGGTAAAGTTAAACATAACTGGTAAAGTTTTTGGGAATTTGTTTTTCGTGTTCAAAGGTGTTTGTTATGCAAGCCAACATAGTCACACCTGTGATGCATCACTTACAAGGGAACCTCTTGAGGTTATAAATCGCTTTTGAACTCGGACTACTTGTATCTTGTAGACCTCAGTGAGTAGTAAAATACCCTAAGCTGGTTCATCCCCATGGTGCTTTGTTGCTGAGATATTGAATTTTTAGTCAGTTTTTGCCTATAGAGCTTGGATTTCGAGCAAAATCCGGCTTTCGAATTTTGACTTGAAACTTGCCACACTGCACAGTGGGCATCCAGGCGGACATTAGGTGAAAAATCGAAGCTGCTCTTTTTTCGAATTTAAGTAATGGAAAATGTAGTCCTTCAAATTCTCTATCGAATGGTATATATATGTCTATTGTGAAATTCGTTGCTTCAACAAGTACAAAAAACTACAAAAAAACGCTTTTTGAGCGCGTTGCTACGCGTAAAATCAAGTTTCTCTTTTTACTCAGTAATATTAACCGATTTCAAAGCACATATTCGGAATCAGGAAGTCGTAGGCTATCGACACATAGCAAAATGTTTCAATTTTGGCACCTTACTCGAAAAATAACAGCAACGTAATCTCTAATACGTCAGTCCCTCAGTGACAGTACTCCAGTATAGTCCAGTTCCGAGCTTTTACGAACCTCTAAAATAATATTCAAATACATCAAAATGTTCCTCAGATCATATTGCATCTGTGTGAATTCCCATTTTTTCCCCTAAGACTTCTAAGTCATGTTATCGATTTTCTAAAACCCATACCGTTTTCGCGGTATTTCATGGTTTTCCCGCTTATAAATGCACTTCCTTTCAAATATAATACCATATTCGGAATCACCGTGAAAAACTGCATCGAATGATGTATAACTTTTTAAATTTTCTGCAGAAATATTTTCGATCAAATTGAATTATAGACTTGAAAGTTTGTCCGCAGCAAATTTTGCGTAGGAATTTGGATATTTATTTTAGCAATAGTACACAAGTCTATAAACACATTTTTATAGGTTTTCGAATATGATCTTTCGAATAGTGAGGTTCTCGAAATGCAAAAATGTTTTTTATGGGTTTTCCAGAGATCCGATCTCCAGAAAACCCGCAAGGAATTGCTTTTGAGTACTGAAAATCGCATCGTTAGAAAGAGCATATTCGAAAACCTATAGAAGAACTTGTTTACAGGCTTTCATACCACTCCTACAGCATATGTCCGCCTGCTCTATAGAAAAATGCCCAGTGTACACTGGTAGCCCATGATCATAGTAGTACGACGGGAAAAAATTCGATCCTGATGAATTTTCCTGCCTTGAGATATTGAGACTCGAATATTTCACCCGAAAGTGAGGGTGAGGGTCAGATGTTCGAGTCTCAATATCTCAGGGCAAGAAAATTCGTTAGGATCGAATTGTTTCCCGTCGTACTACTATGACCATGGGCTACCAGTGTGGCAAGTTTCAAGTCAAAATTCGAAAGCCGGATTTTGCTCGAAATCCAAGCTCTATAGG